CCAGCAGGATTAGCGTAGCTGGTGTTTGGGGAATTAAGAAGAAATCATGTTGATTGGGGTCCTTTGCATTCCTTAGCTCTCTGAACCCCCAGCCTAACGCCAGCGTAGTGCAACAGGGCTTTTGATCCGTTGCAATTCCTAGCTCCCTGAATGTCAACATTTTGCGAAGAGCTTTTGCAAAGAGGAAAGAAATCTATAGGAAAGAGGTTTGCCATTAGCTGCATGCCTTCCCTTTCCCACCATTAGTGTAAGATTAGGAGGGCTAATGTTGGTGGGGAGGGAAAGTTAGCATCTAGCAACAAAAGGAAAATAGCTTCATCAGTGCCTGAGCAAAAGACGGCTGCTTTTGTCCCATGTGGTCCAGGCTATTTTCCTTTCCTACATCTTGAACTCTGGAAGTCTTCAAAAGGTAAACGAGTGATTGGTGACAGGGTGGGGATGAGTACGTGGTAGGCTAGCAAAGCAGGCCCAGTGCCTGTGGGGACTGGAGGACAGGATGGGAGAGGAAATAGGCAGAGGGCATGTTGCAGCATATCTGCCGTCAGTTGTATGGGCGAATGACCACAGTGGTGCTCCTACATATGTAATTTCAGAACCGGGGCATAATTACTTTTGGGGAGGTGTCATAACTTTGAAACTGTTAATTACCTGTGTTTGTTTGTATCCCACCTTTATTATTTTTGCAAATAATTCAAGGTAGTGAATATATCCAACACATCTTCCTCCTCTTGTTTTCCCTATAACAATTTTATGAGGTGGGTTGGACTGAGAAAGTGACTGGCCCAACATCATCCAGCTACCATTTGTGGTTAAGACAGAACTTGAACTCATGATTTCCTGCTTTCTAGCCTGGGGCCTTAATTGCTAGATCAAATTGGGCTGTTGGTTTGAGCTCAGAGCTTGGCAATTTGGTTGCAAAGGTTTTGACACCATTCAAGGAGACATCGTCAGTGTACTTTAAAGCGCACTGACGATGTCTCCTTAAATGGTGACGCAACATTTACGAAACAGCTACCAACCCGAGCTACTAATATTCAAGTACATTTCAACTAGATCAAACTGGCTATAAAAAACATTTACCAGGAAAGTTTTTAGTTTTAGTAGCTGAATCCTTTTCATAAATTTATATGACAGTAATTCCAGTATAAGATAGTTGAAAATGTTCAAAAGTATACATAGTATTTGGTAAAATTGATTTAGATTCCATTTGAACAATTACATAACTATTGCTATAATAAGTATTTTGATAGCAAAATATATTGTTGATGGAATCATAAATAAGATTTTTCTCTGCTTATAACGTAAATATGTTTCTTTTTGTATGGACTTTTAGTAGTGTGAAATATATTAACCATTGTTAGAAAGTGGTATTGGCTGCCCTTTTAGATTTTTTCCCCTAAACATTTCATACATATTTGGGAAATCAGCAGGAACTAGAGATTTATATATGCATAGTATTACATGCCATCTGACAGTTTATTGTGTCAGAATTTTCTAGATTTCTTTTTTCACCAAGATACCTGCTAAATTTATAGACAATGGAATAAATAGAGAATTAAAATGAATTTTTTTTTTCTGAGGTATGGCAAATTCGTGTGGACCTGCATTTGCTGAATCATAATGGAAACATTATTGATGCTGCAAGTATAGCAGCAATAGTGGCACTCTGCCACTTTCGGAGACCTGATGTGTCAGTACAGGGCGAAGAAGTAACATTGGTAATTTTCTTTGGAAGTGGGAATTTAAAATGATGTCACTCTTGCATGTTTTGGGTTTTCTATAATTGGATTGGGAACAGTCTGTAAATGTGTATTCACTTTAAAAACAATATACTATTTTCAGATTTTCTAAATCTATTACGTTGTTTTCCTTTGGAACTAAAGAATTATGTCAATAAAATCAAGGGGATCAAAGCAAGATTCCTATATATATTTAGATAGTAAGTATTTTTAATTACAACATAAGACTTCTGCCAGAAAATCATACATAAACATAACTACTTAATCAAAATTACTTAATATATTATACATGATATTCTTTTCATTTTTGAAAGGGTCAAAGTCCTATTACAATAATAAATCGGTATAGCTCCTTTCTTTATTTTAGAAAGCCAACATGCCTTTAACATTTAAGCATTAATTATCTTTATAGTTTATGTATGTATATTTGCATATGCAATTGGCTAAGCAAAATACTGTTGTGTTCGATTCTTTAGTATACACCTGAAGAAAGGGATCCTGTCCCTCTGAGTATCCACCACATGCCGATTTGTGTAAGCTTTGCTTTTTTCCAGCAAGGGTAAGTTAACATTACTTTCAGTTTTCTACTATTTTTGTGCACCAATAAGAGTATTCTGATACGTACACAAAAGTAATTAAAGAAACTTTTTTGAATGTGATAGTACACAAAGTTAATTCTTTCTCATTACTGAAATGACCTTTTTTGGAAAAAGTCAGTATTAAAAATACTGAAAGACCAACATTTCACAAATGAATATATTTGATTTTTATTTCTGTTGTATTAACTTTTTAAACCACCTGAACTGAGTAATTAATGGTGCTTCACAAAAAACACAGAGAACAATAAAATAGTAATAGATAAAAACACAGAGAACAATAAAATAACATAATAAGACAGAGAACTGCAAAATGATAACAGATAAATACACAGAGAACAAAAAGTAATATGTGATGGGCAGAAGAAATTATCTTATGAAGCTAAGGGGAGAAAAGGGATTTAGACTTGTAAAATTCTGTTACAATAACTCTATAACAGAAATAGTATTAGCCTACATTACTTTAGTTTTCTAGACTTGGCTGACATAAAATAAAGAACCGAAGCTGGCACAAACTGAACAACAAGCAAAGCAATCCCACATTATCCAACAGGGGACTTTATATATCCTCTCCTCACCTGCGGGAAAGACCAGGTGTTCAAGATTTTCCGGAAACCCAGCAAGTTGGGGACCATCTGAATCTAAGGAGGAACCTGATTTTAGAGAGCAATCACTGCAACAGAGAAGAAATGCTTCCAAGTTTCCAATAGATGGCATTGTTTAATTGAAGGAATCCAGAGTGCATTAACTCTTTGAAATGTATAGAATTAAAGCCACTTTTGAGAATATAGCTAAGCACTGCTAGTATGGTTAAGACTACTGTTTTATCTACTAGGTTATTGCATTTACTAATTTATTTTCCATATAAAATCTTACGGCTTGTTCTAAAATGGTACAGGACTTACTTACTAGTAGATCCCAGTGAACAAGAAGAACGTGTAATGGATGGCCTCCTTGTAATAGCCATGAACAAACACCGTGAAATCTGCACCATTCAATCCAGTGGTGGAATTATGCTATTAAAAGAACAGGTAATATGAAAGTTTTTAAAACTTGAGCATTACTTATGATATTTTTCTTTTAAAATGACAGTCTCTGGGCCTCAATTGGTTAATTTCTTCTTTTCCTACGATAAACGTTGGGTTTCAAATCCATTTTGAATTCAGCAAGAAATTTAAAATAAATGAGTTGGATTCAAATTGCTCTTAATAGAATTCTTGGTAAAAAGGAAGGATACTAGTTTTTTTTAATCACTTAACTTCATTCTTTACTTACTGATCTATATACCAACCCTTGTGGGAAATCGTTCCTACAGCTCTGACTTCATGTTATAATAGTCATTCAGAAATTGCAAACCAGAAATCATTTGTGGGAGTGATCCTTTGTGTCTAAGGTACAGATGTGTTAGCTAACAAACTATAATTAGATTTTTGGCATACTTTAATATGCATTTTCTTTGACAATTGTTTCTGGTAACTTTTGTATCTTATAAAGCAGTGTCCAATGTGAGCAGTGCCCAATTTGGATCTATTACTATTCCCTGTCAGTAGCTTTTTATGGCAGAATTCCTTTGGATGCATGTTGCTCTGCATTCTTATATACTGGAGGAAGGTAAATTCCAGTTGGGTATTAAGAAAAAAAGCATTGTACAGTAATAGCAGATCAATAATCCAGAGAGGTTGTGGGTTCTGTATTCACGATTTGTTCAAGATTTGCTCATTGTTTCGGAGATGGTTTCATTTGGATTCTTGACCTGAGCCAGGGAGCTTAATCTTAATATGGTCCCTTCCAACTATTTGATTCTGTGATTCTGTATAAAGAATAAATTAATCCAGTTTAATTAAGTATAAATCTTTTATTTCCCAGTTCTGACTTTGACAAACTTATCAGTTTATAATTCTTTAATTAAACTTCATGTAAATGTAAAGAAAAAAAATTTGGTAGTTGGAAAGGAAAGTAAATCTTAAAAATCAATAATGAAGGGTCTTCTATCATATTCTGAATTCCTGTTATCTTCTTTCTCTCCTCATTTGCGAATTGTTTTTCAATGTATATTCCAAGACTTTTGGATTACCACTTGCAAATATTCATGGGGAAAATTCATTCTATGATGAAATAATTTAAACTTGCATTATGATTTTTCACAGGTTTTGAGATGCAGCAAAATAACAGGAGTTAAAGTAGCAGAAATCACTGAACTAATTCAAAAAGCTTTGGAAAATGATCAAAAAGTTAGGTGAGGTTTTATTAATGCTGCAGACTAATGCCTTTTAATGTAGTCTATTATAAATTGATACATCCATGTTTGTATAATGGCAGTCTGGTAGATTATAAAACAATTTGAATTGAATCAATGGTGTTTTCTAAGCTTGATTGTTTGCTTCCAAACATTTCATTACCAACTAGGACAGGGGTGTCAAACTGGATTTCTTTGAAGGCAGATCATCATTGTAGTTTTCCTCTGCAGGTTGGGGAGGAGGAGGGAAAAGACTGTACCGACGCTTCCTGCAGCACCCTGCCAACCAAAACGGGGCATGGAGTTTCCCTGTGCGACCCTGCCATACCCCGTTTTTGGCCTGGATGGCCTCCTGTAGCACTTTGCTAGCTAAAATGGGCCATGGGGGATATGCGTGGCTCCATGCACCTGTTTTCAGTCTGGACAGCCTCCTGCAACATCCTGCCAGCCAAAACAGGACACAGGGGGACCCATGCACCCCCATTTTCGCTAACAGACACACCATGGGCTGGTCCTTTGCTATTTCCAGGCCACCCCTGCGGGCCAGATTTAAGCACCCCGCAGGCCGGATCGAGCCCACAGGCCTTGAGTTTGATACACCTGAACTGGGATGTTACCTGGTCAGATAATGAAATATCTGCAAGCAAGGCTCATGAAAAAGGCATTAATAAAAAAAACAATTCTGACTAATTAAAAGTTCTGATGATTATTTTTCTGTGAATTTATTATCTTACTTGGAGATGATGATATTTGGAATATACTTAAATAAAACTGTATTTTAGAATAGCTTTTTAAATGATGCCTAGGCAGAAATCTTGGTCTTTCAGTGCAAAATGTTGATTCTTTTCTGCTTTCACCATCTCATCCGTATCCTAAACTTACAATATCAGAAAGAAGAGCTAGTAGCACAGTTTCTGTTGTAAATATGCTGAGAACACATCCATTTGGTTTCTTGAATTGAATAAAATGGAGTATGGTTATATTAAGTATGGTTAAGTATTCATAAAGTAATAGTATCTTTTGGTTCTTAATCTATGTTTCAATGCAAATGTGAACTTATAAAGGAATTCTTTTCTTTTAATAGGAAAGAAGGTGGAAAATATGGATTTGCAGAATCAATTCCTAATGAAAGAATAACTGCCTTTAAAATAGAACAAGCCCCAGTCAATACTAATGATGTACAAGAGCAAGCTGAAGAAATAATTGCCAAAGCGTTTCCTCCTCCAGAAATGTATCTTTTGTTGCATAACACAAAATCAGATGGTTGGGCTTCTGTGCTCAGGATTATCTTAATTTCTTTAAAAAATATTGTTTCAATATTCTGAAAGGAGGAAATAAATTAAATTAAGAAAGGAAACAGAAAACATTGCATGCAAAATCATTCAGATTGATTTTTAAATTCATCATTACACCTTCTTCCTATAAGCACCTTGATTACATAACCTAATATTGATCAGCTTTCCATTGTTTTGATAGAAAGCCAGTTCATAAATAGAAAACCACATATTGATGATCCACAATTGTCTTGCCAATATTGATGAGTAATACTTTTGCTGCCAAACATGTCAATAATTCCATAACTCTTCATCAGAGATAGCTCCCAATTTTTTGGTATATAATTCAAGAGTACATTCACATTTTAAAACCGTAGTGATCTTTGTAACACTGTATTTAAGTTGCTTCTGATATGATGAGTGTCTACATTTGATAAATAAAAGTTAACATTAAACCAAACAGGAAATAGTTGAATAAGCCAATATTGTAGAATTAAATGTCCCATCACCCAGTATAATGAAGTTGGAAGACAACTCATAAACATCCTTTGAGGTATCCAGTAAATATGGAGGAAAATATTAAACATTAAGGATACTGGTAAATTAGTCACATTTTCAGAAAAACATATTTCAGTTATCCATTGATTTGTTCATATGGGATATTCCAAATATTTATTCATGAGTACAGACATACAATTAGAATCATCCCACATTCTGTGATATTTAACTGATATTTAGCAAACCTTCAGGTCTATGTCTGATAGCAGATATCAACAATAAAACTACCTTTTTTGTTTGTTGATCACTTTAATATTTTTCTGTGTAGTATTTGCTAGAAAGACTATTCATATGCATGTAGTTAGCTGTTCAGTAAGTTTACTATATTTTTTGTTAACCATATTTAAGCGAGTAACATCTTTCTTTCTCATATCCTTCCTTCCCCAAAAGAATTATAAGGTAAATTTGCAAGATGATTGATTCCAAAATATGGAAAAATATGAGAATCATTCTTTATTATAATACATTTTAGATAAGACCTGGTTTTTCCTTAATGAAATTAGCTTATCCAAGCCTGTATTATGGGCACCAGGGACAGCTCAGATTGGAGAAGGACTTCAGAATTCATGGGCAGATTTTGAGGAATCTGAGATGGAAGAGGAAAATGAAGATGGCCAGGATGAATCTCTAACAGTAGAAGACCAAAATATAGAAATGGGAGATGTTCATATTGAAGCCAAAAATCAAAAAGGTTAGAATACTTTTTTTAAAAAAATGTGAAGTAGGAAATTGCATTCGAGTTGAAATTCATTTTTGTAGATCTGTTTTTACTTTTGTGTATGTGTAAAGGAAATTTTGAAATTTCATCAAATCACATGCTGCTTTCAATTTAAAATCCTTTTGCCCTTCTATATAGTTAGCAGTGAACATTTTCAAAGTTGTTTTCAACACTCCAGGTTATTTCTGCAAACAGCTATCCATGATTCCAATGCAAAGTCATTGCATTAAGGGATATAACATGAGAGGGGCTTCCTAGGATGTGTGTCCACACTTTCAACGTAGAAATTAAACTTACATAAGAATGGAGTAGTTTTGTCACTATAGATAATTCTCAACTTACAGCAGTTCATTTAGCGACCATTCGAAGTTACTGAAAAGTGACTTATGACTGCTTTTCACACTTACGGCCATTGCAGCATCTTCATGGTCACATAATCAGAATTCAGAAGCCTGGCAACTGGCTCATATTTATGAGTTATTGTCCTGCGGTCATGTGATCACCTTTGGCAACCTTCTGACAGTGAAGAAGCCAGATTCACTTAACAACTGTTACTAATTTAACTGCAGTGTTTCACTTAATAACTGGCAAGAAAAGCTGTAAAATGGGGTAAAGCTCCCTTTAACAACTGTCTCACTTAGCAACAGAACTACCTGTAATGGGTTGTTGAATGATATCAATACAGAAGCAAATTGGTGCATATGCAGTGTCTTTTCTGGTGAAAAATGTCTAGCATTTATTTTATTAGTATAGTGAAATTGTAACTGATTAATGGAACAATTATCTGTTCTTCACAAACATCTTTTGAATCAGAGATTATATACTCTTTGACAATTTATATACCATGTGTAACAACATTAATTTGTGTGCAAAATTAGTCCATTTAAAGCCTGTTGTATTAATCTGGTGAAGTGAAACAACTATAACACAATTATAAACTTTGCTGCCAGTATAAAAATGAGCAGTGGCTTGAAATCTTGTTTCATAGTTTCCTTCTTCCACAGTTCCTATACATAAAGCATTTTCCATCTGCCCAATAACTCTTGGAAATGTGTGCTGTAGACATTTTCTACAGCATATGAAAATGTGTTTTAGAATCTGCTTAGAGAAGATGTTGCTGATTTTCAGATTTATTAAAGGAGCCTCTGTGGCGCAGTGGTTAGGGTACAGTACTGCAAGCTACTTCTGCTGCAGCCAGCTGCCTAGAATTTGGCAGTTCAAATCCCACCAGGCTCAAGGTTGACTCAGCCTTCCCATCCTTCTGAGGTGGGTAAAATGAGGACCCAAATTGTTGGGGGCAATATGCTGATTCTGTAAACCACTTAGAGAGGGCTGTAAAGTGCTATTGCTATTATGTATCATCATATCAATCCATAGATACCATATAATTGTTATCCATGACAGATTTAGATGCTGTATAGGATTTAAAAATCAATATCAATATTTTTCTTGTCTTGAAGAAGAGGCAATCGTATTATCGGACAGTGAAGAGGAAGATGTTGTTATTCTAGAACCTGAAGTAACACCAAAGAACAGGTAGGGGCACTGTTTTACAAAAGGTGGGAGAGGCAATTTAACTGAGGACTGTGAAAATGGAAGTCTAGAATCTCCCAAATGTTGCATTTTTCTCCTAGAACATGTTGATCAAGCCATCCTCAGGTTGGCTTGTTTACTTGAAATAATTCTGATATAGAGCTCAGTACTCAACATGTGGCCTGGACCCAAAATGGCTTTTTTGTAAAAAGAACTACAACAAAACCATGGTTATAATTCATAAATCTCTTTTGCTGGCCAGATCTCTTGGAGACTTAATTTTTTTTTTGTTCCAAAAAGGAAAGAGACATGTCTCTTCCAAAGAACGGCTAATACTGTTTCTTACCTCAATAGAATTCAGTAGAAATTTTTTTTCTGAAAAGATGCTTTTCTTGAAAATTAAGAAAAAGGGATAGTGAAATAATTTGTAATATTTTGTATTAAATTATAAAATGGCTAACATAAATTGATTTGAAGATACTTATCATAAACCAAAGAATGCAAGTCATCTCTATCGAATTTAAGGGAAAACTTTCATGTAAAGTTGACCAAAATTATTATTTAAATCAAAAATGGAAGTTCTAGAGAATAATAGTATTTCATTTTCAAAAAAAGCCTAATTAGAACATTTTGTGACAAAATATTATTTTATTAATCAAATTTACTATATATAGCTGCTCATCTCACCAAAGGTGACCCAGGGCAGAGAATAAAATCAAAAACTGTATAATAAAAATGTTTTGCTAAGAAATATACTGCCAGGCCTAGTGGAGTGAGTTGATATAATCAGGAAGAGACAGTCAATCATGTGACCTAGTTCCAAAGCATGAAAGGCTTTAAAGCTTAGAAACAGTACTTTGAATTGGACTTGGAAGCAAAATGGCAACCGATGCAACTTGTGGAATAAAGGTGTAATATGTGTTGCTCTAGCAACATTCAATTGCTCAAGTTGCTGCTCTCTGTACCAGCTGATGTTTCTGGATACTCTTCCAGTAACCCATGTAGAGTATATTGCAGTATTCCAATCTGGAGGCAACTAGAGCATGAGTGACTAAGCAGGAGCTGCCAATCCAAGAACATGCAGTTGGTACACCAGACAAGGCCCACCTACACCACATTTCCCATCTGCTTCTTGATCAGTTGTGAGTCTAGGAAGACTAGACCATGTGCATAAACCTTTATACAAAAAGCAAATAAAATTGGATATACTGTATATCCATAGCGTCAAGATTGTCCAACAATTTTATAAATATAGAATGAACAAAGACTAGTGGAAACAATAAGCAAAGTCTGACAAGTAGGGCAAACTGATAGTCCAGAAGGCTGTAGCCAATTTGTTTTTATTCTGATGGGATAGAAAGAAAACATGTTCATAGAATGTAACAAGGAACTATTAATGAATGTGAATCTTCTCTAAATTAATATTCATGTTGAGATGATCACAGAGAAAATTTAAGGCAGCAATCACATACAATCCCATGTTATTTGTTTTGAATTCTATGTGGTGTGAGCTTGGAAGATACTGGGTTCTCATCTGTAGATAATGTTTGCAGACCTGCTGGTTTAGGATTATAGAACTGCCTCCAATAGATAATCTTTCAAAATTGTATTAAGTGAACTGTGATCCTAAATTCACTTTTAAAATCATAAGCTCTTTCAGATGAAAAGCAAGTAAATATTCCTAATTAATGAGTATCATTAATAGATTTAATGCTGAAATTAGGGCTGTTATATTCTGGACTGAATTGTTGAAAGATGTTTTTACATGAAATTCCATGCTGAATGGAAATAATGCATACAATAATCATATCTACAAGCATATATACACATCCTTTCATTTAGCAATTGCAAATCCCAACTAAATGGTCACTAAGCATGATGGAGATGCTGCAGAGATTGTTGATGCCATCTTAGTCAGAAAAAAAATATCTTGTGCAGTGTCCTGTGCCTGACCTGTCTCCTTTTTACTCCCCAAAGTAGAAATATTGGGTAAACAAGTTGTATCTTTTTACATGTTTCCAAAAAAGTAATAACTACAAGTTTAAAAAGTCAGTTCTATGACCTTATTATAACCTTCCAAGGGTTAGCAATGCTACCTGAAATTGACTAGACCTTTATTATAATTTGTTTTTGCAGATTGTCACTAAATGAGGAATGACTGTGGGGGAGGTTTTGGTAGCAATTGTGGCAAATCATACTGAATCATTTTGAACTCATTAAAGTTTCAGGATACTTATCCAAATGTAGTTTTTTGGGGGGACTAAGATTCTAGCTTAATCTTGTTCCTGTTAAATAACTGTAAGCAAAACTGCAATTGTTTGCCATTTTAGCAACTGTACTTTATATTATGCATAAAATGGCTAGGTAGGCCAAAAAATTACAAACATATACACTGCTCAAAAAAATAAAGGGAACACAAAAATAAGACATCCTAGATCTGAATGAAATATTCTTATTAAATACGTTGTTCTTTACATAGTTGAATGTGCTGACAACAAAATCACACAAAAATTATCAATGGAAATCAAATTTAGCAACCCATGGTCTGGATTTGGAATTACACTCAAAATTGAAGTGGAAAAAAACACTACAGGCTGATGCAACTTTGATGTAATGAAAACAAGTCAAAATGAGGCTCAGTAGTGTGTGTGGCCCCCACATGCCTGTATGACCTCCCTACAATGCCTGGGCATGCTCCTGATGAGGTGGTGGATGGTCTCCTGAGGGATCTCCTCCCACACCTGGACTAAAGCACCCCCCAACTCCTGGACAGTCTGTGGATGGAGCGAGACATGATGTCCCAGATGTGCTCAATTGGATTTAGGTCTGGGAACGGGCGGGCCAGTCCATAGCATCAATGTCGTCTTACAGGAACTGCTGACACACTCCAGCCACATGAGGTCTAGCATTGTCTTGCATTAGGGGGAACCCAGGGCCAACCGCACAAGCATATGGTCTCACAAGGGGTCTGAGGATCTCGGTACCTAATGGCAGTCAAGCTACCTCTGACCCACTGCCAAACCGGTCATGTTGGAGGATGTTGCAGGCAGCAGAACGTTCTCCATGGCGTCTCCAGACCCTGTCACATGTGCTCAGTGTGAACCTGCTTTCATCTGTGAAGAGCACAGGACGCCATTGGCAAATTTGCCAATCTTGGTGTTCTCTGGCAAATGCCAAATGTCTGCACGGTGTTGGGCTGTAAGCACAACCCCCGCCTGTGGATGTCGGGGCCTCATGGAGTCTGTTTCTGACCGTTTGAGCAGCCACATGCACATTTGTGGCCCGCTGGAGGTCATTTTGCAGGGCTCCTCCTGTCCCTCCTTGCACAAAGGCGGAGGTAGCAGTCCTGATACTGGGTTGTTGACCTCCTACGGCCTCCTCCACGTCTCCTGATGTACTGGCCTGTCTCCTGGTAGCGCCTCCATGCTCTGGACACTACGCTGACAGACACAGCAAACCTTCTTGCCACAGCTCGCATTGATGTGCCATCCTGGATGAGCTGCACTACCTGAGCCACTTGTGTGGGCTGTAGACTCCGTCTCATGCTATGTGAAAGCACCGCCAGCATTCAAAAGTGACCAAACCATCAGCCAGAAAGCATAGGAACTGAGAAGTGGTCTGTGGTCACCACCTGCAGAACCACTCCTTTATTCGGGATGTCTTGCTAACTGCCTATGCTTTCCACCTCTTGTCTATTCCATTTGCACAACAGCATGTGAAATTGATTGTCAATCAGTGTTGCTACCTAAGTAGGCAGTTTGATTTCACAGAAGTGTGATTGACTTGGAGATACATTGTGTTGTTTAAGTGTTCCCTTTATTTTTTTGAGCAGTGTACATAGCATTGTTCATTGTCCACATTATTGGAACCCATTGTACAGCTAAGTGTGTCTAGAGCACACGCACACACAATTGCAATCTTGCATGACACTATTTTTGAGTTTCAGTGCACTAGTTGAAATAATTGTTTTACATTTCCACAGAACAAACCAAAAATCAGAAAACACAAAGAAAAAACCAGCTGGCAAAAATAAGAAAAAACGAAGAGTTTGTTAAAAGTAATTAATCTTATTTGTGTATTCTGTTAAACTTTTCATGCTTAAAAGAAACATTTGTATTATGTAATTCATAGGAATACTGTATGTGTCTTTGTATATATTTTCTAATAAACTTTATAATGCTAATAAAGATTTTGCAAATTGTCTTTGTGATTACTGCTCTATAAACAAAATCTTAAGTTTGGATTATTCAAAACATTTTGCTGCAAGAGGTGGAATATTTTATCTTCCTCTCCTCTCCAGTCTCTCAAACAGATAACATCTATGGCTTTTGATTATCATTGGTGAAAAAATAAGTTGGAGAAGATTAATTAAGGCTGATGGTTAATGAAACACCAAGAGGAAAAGACATGTCATTCATTTTTCAGAATATGAGAAAACAAGCATTTGCTGATTGGCCATTCTTTCTACAATAAGCTGAACTGACTTCTTTAAGTCAGTTCTTTGACATTAACATTTTCTTATTCAATTTCTCAATAAAATATGCCCTTTTGGTTGTCTGACCATCAGTTTTTCCCTCCCTTAAAGCTAAGAGTTTTGCTTGTTGTATTTGACCCCTTCCTTTTGCTATGTTTTATCTGATCATGTATGAGGCGAGATTTCACAGTACAAAGGTAGCAGACTAAAAACAAAACTTTTCAATATGCAAAATATATTTTATAAATCAAGTTACTGCTGAGATTCTTTTAGGGGATTTTATTTGCCAGCTTCTAGATGGTTACATTTAGGTCTTTTCATGCATTTATTTAGTGGGAGCGCATCTCAAGCATTGGTTGCTTATAGGAATTTAATTTTTCTAAAATTTGAGTATAAAAGTCTCTTCCATCGATAAAATTTAATCCTTGCAACATAGAAAACCTGGTATTTGTCCAACACACACACACTGTTTTAATCCTGTATTAGAACATCAAGATTATACCAAGAATAGAAAAGGTACACAACCTAAGGATCCTAACCACCTGAAGCCAGAATACAGAGCAATGTGCCCCTCCAGCAACCTAGCTGAAATTGCCATGTAACAGTAGGAACTCTGAACCAACCCACTGATTTGCATGGCTGTTTCCTTTGCAGGTCAGCTTGCTCAGTTGCAAACACATTAAGTTATCTGATTCATGAACTAGGTTAGCAGAAGGCAGGTTTTTTATTTAATCTGATTTTTTTTTAATGGTAAGAACTACTTTTATTCTTATTATTGGAGGCTCTTCCTTTACGTTCCAGACTCACTGGTTTGAATAAAAGCTATTAATGCAGTGTTTATAAAGCTACTTAAGTGGCATATTTAAAAAAAAGAAAAATCACTATCCTTAATAGCTGATACAGCCTTCAAGTAGAGTGGGGTCTTGTTAGCAAAAAGCGTCACAGCAGTTTTCTCAAGTTTAGCTACTGAGCACTTGACTATTTGAAGTACACCCTTGTAACTTTATTATATGCAGATATTCCATTGAACTATCTTGATTTGCAATTTTAGAGTGAAAATCCTCACACTGGTCATACTATTTTAAAAAGGTTGAACAGTGCCACTCAGCATTTATACCTGCATGGTTTTAAGTCTTTTTCCGCAGTTTTAAAGGGGCGCCATCTAAGCACATAGAACAAGATTGCATGTACAAAAGTTTACATTAAAACGTTATAAAAGTATAAAACCTCATAATTAGCTATGGTAATATACCAGATTGATTGAAATCTAAATACACATTTAAAACTGTACATTTACAATGGACTATATATAGATTTGAAATCTCACTTATATTATTATAATAAATCTAGTGTCTCTGGTGGGTCAATGAGCGACACCGCATGGTATCTGAAAAAGATAAAAGTGACATGAATATTATTTTTGCTATCTGACAAAAGTATTTTTTTTGGCTCTTTCTCTATACAAATTAGTCTAACATACCCCTGTAGTTGTTTCAGTTACAGCATTCAAGGGTGAGACTTACTTTACGGTCTTGTATTTCTCTCTGATAGACTGTTGTGTATGCTGTGCTGCTCTGCAGTAGGTTTTGTGGAGGTCTAGGAGACAAGGCTTAATACTTTCAAGTGTATATCCTGTTATTGCAGCAAAAGAATCTGTCTGTAAAGGAAAGTCAAATACTTAAAACCTAAGTAATTCTGTTCTTGGTGTTCAATTGTTATTTTAATTGCCCAGATAGAAGAGCTTGGATCTAATGAAAATAAAGTCTGTGGCACTTGTAGAAGTGTAGCTTATAAGCTCCCAGAAACAGGTGTAGCTAAGTTAACTAAGTTGACAAGTGATACTACATTTCTGCTTCAAAGTGCGGCTTTGGAATTGAATCTGAAGCTTTTAAAAAATTCCTTATGACTGTCTCCGGCTATCCCTTGTTTCTAATCAATAGCTCTGAAATGATACCTGGTGGTGTAGTGCTTAGAATGTATGATTGTAGGCTAACTCTGCCCACAGCAAGTTCGATCACAGCCAGCTCAAGCTTTCCATCCTTCTGAGATTGATAAAATGAGGGCCCAGATTGTTGGGGGCAATATGCTGGCATTTGTAAACCTCCCAGAGAGTGCTATAAAGCAGGGGTCCCCAACCACCAGGCCGCGGACCGGTCCCGGTCTGTGGAGCACTCTGTACCGGGCCGCAAAGAAAAAATAATAATAAAAATGGCGGCTTTCTTCGCCTTCGGTGAATGCTGCTGGGATCAGGGATCAAGGACACAAATGAAAGAAGGGGAGGGAGGAAGCAACCAAAGCCTGTCCTGCTCTCCGGCTCAGTGGCTTCGGTTTCCTCCCGCCTCGTTCCTCTCTCAGTTGCTCTCGCTCCTCCACCAGCCCAGGAAGAAACTGCTTCAAAGGAGCCGGCAGGGTGGCTTTTCCTGTCGGCGCAGCTCCCCCGAAGCGCCCGTTCACCCCCACCCCGCCCGCCCGCGCGCAGTTCAATCCAGTGCTCCGTTCTGCCTGCCTGCCTGCCTTCGTTTCTGGTAGTTTCGGAGCAGCTTCAGCTGAGAATAACTATTCGCCTCTTTTTCTCAGCCGAAGCTGCTCTGAAACTACCAGAAACCAAGGCAGGCAGGCAGGCAGGCAGAACGGAGCACTGGATTGAACCGCGGGCGGCGCGGGACGGGCGCTTCGGAGGAGCTGCGCTCCGAAACCACCAGAAATGAAGGCAGGCAGGCAGAACGGAGCACTGGATTGAACCGTGGGCGGCGGGGTGGGGGTGAATGGGCGCTTCGGAAGAGCTGCGCCGACAGGAAAAGCCACCCTGCAGGCTTCTTTGAAGCAGTTTCTTCCTGGGCTGGTGGAGGAGCGAGAGAGCAACGAGGCAGACACCTGAGGGATGAGGCTGAGGGAGGGAGGGAGACACATGAGTGATGGGGCTGATGAAGGCAAGGCCGAGAGGCGAGGCTTCTCAGCCGTCCTGCAGGGACTATCTGTCGCTCAGGGTTGCAATGAGGAGGCAATGGCGTTCCCTGAACTTGGTGGTTTGCTGGCAGACGTTTTATTACCCGACTAGGTAACAAAATCAGATTTTACCTAGTCAGATAATGAAACGTCTGCAAGCAAACCACCAAACTCGGACCCCG